AGTTTAGAAACTTTATATATTTTAATTGCAAATATTTTACCAATTGCTTCTTTAAAAACATTAGGGAACTTGCTATACTCTACCAATCAAGCCCAGTGACACTCCATTTATTTTCCATCACTCGAACACTGAAAAGTAAAAAAATATATGAAATCAGATCCATTAAATTCTAAGATTTGATTTACATTTCTAATTAAAATTGTTTTTGATCATACGTATAGATAATTATATAAAGATTCCAAAATTATAAAATTTCAAATACATACAAAAACAATCATATGTAAATTTTAAATTTGTGAATATTAAAATTTTATATTTTAATTACATATATTCACCCTGCGCAAGGCGCATAAACAATCATATGTAAATTTTAAATTTGTGAATATTAAAATTTTATATTTTAATTACATATATTCACCCTGCGCAAGGCGCAGGTCTTATCCTAGTGATATAGTATAAACGTATTTATTACAATGTTTCTTCTTTAATATATTAGGAATTAGCAAAATAAATATTAAAACATAAGAAAATTTAAAGGGGTTGATATATTACAAAATGTGATAAGACTCCGAAGAGATTATTAGAGCTATCATCTCAAAGATTTGGTCGTTAAAATTCTGCGGAGTTCTCATGAACATCGATCTTTTTTAATTGTTTATCTCGTTTGTTGTTTTCTCCTTTACTCCGCGTTTTGGAAACACTGCTCCGAGTACTGTTGATAAATTTGCTCTGTTTTTTTATTTATTTATTTAAATTGCTCTGTTGAATTCTCCTACTACGTTGGTTTGTTCCTTTAGACTCCTCTATTTATGAAATTTGACGTTCAAAAACGGTACTCTAGCCGGTCCTATACTATAGTCTATTAGAATATACATTGAAAAGGCTGGGCAACAAAAAAACAAAAGTAGCAACTTCTGTATAAAGCGATGAAATTGAGAAGAGAATCTTCTTTTAAGAAAGACATGCATCGTACAATGATTAGAATAATAAAACTCTTAAAAACTGCAAAAGAAAATTACGAATTAAGGAAGAAAAGAAAATATAACAAAATGGATAATACATCCAAAAACATGACATCTAAAGTTACAACATTGGCTCTCATTGCAACATCTAACAAAATTATCATCTTTAATTCTCTTTTGCTCCTCTTTCACCTTTACTATTGATTGAAACGGTCCCTGAAAAATATCAATTAAAAAAACATTTTAATATAAATTTAATCCCCGAGCAAAGTAAGATAGTTCCTAGTCTTGGTCTTACTTATTAAAAATTACAAAATATATACAAAATGAATTACCAAAGAAAGTGGAAACAAGTCTACTTCAGCGGCATTATTGTATAACTTAGAAAAAGCTTCCATTGCTGAAGTCCCTTGGTGCATTGCATCTGAAGCATTCCATTCTGCTTGCAAAGTTATGCTCACTGCAACCAATCCTGATTCCAATAAATAATATCTATCAATTAAACTTCCAACATAGCATAAACTATGATGTATACGACTAATCAACATAAAACAGACTATCAACATAGTTATTTATAGAGACATATATATTAATATGGTACCTAGTGCAAATCCAGTCGCCGGATTTCCAGCTGGAGCGGCCAGTGTTGCCGGAGACTCTAGACCGCATAAGGTCGGTATCAAACATGGCGGGACCGCCGACGCCACCGCCGCCCCCACCGGTGGATTCGTCCTTGAAAGTACCGCATTTGAAGCAGGTGGAGCGGCTGGCGAAGTTGTGGGTCCCGCAGCTTCCCACGGTGCAGTACCAGTCACCTGGACGAACATCGGAACCGGTGGTGAATCCGAAAGCAGACATAGCTCTGCCGCCGAAACCACCAAAGTCTAAGCCACCAACTCCACCGGCTCCCAAACGTGAATCGCCGCATCGCTGGCAAGAGTCACGGCGCTGGAAGTTGAGGTGGGTGCATGATCTACAGTTCCAGTCTCCGGGTCTGCTCATCTTGGATCGGTTCTTTTATGCGTGCCCTTGTATTAATTTCTGTTACATGCACACCAAAGTTATATTCTAAAACATGCAAATAAAATTCAAAATTCTGTTAGATGATTTAATAAAATATTACCTGGTGTTTCTAACTCTTTAAAAAGCAAACAAAAATATATCGAAGTACCATGCAACTAATGGAAATGAATTTCTTATGTATTCAACTCTTCCTTTCGTTAAAGTTATAGCATTATTTGCCAATTGGTTGTGGTATAACCATATATTTGTGAGATCAATATCTAATTTGATCATATAGTTACGAACTAATATAGGAAAACAAGAGACTGACCTTGTTGGACTTGGACGCGATGTGATTCTCTGTCTAGTAAACAAAACAAGAGACGAGGCTTTGAGAGGGTGATGTGAAGTGGATGTGCTTAAATAGAACACAGAATAATAACTGGTGTATCGTTTTTAAAACAACATTTATTAATTAACTAACTATTACTTTTTTTGTTTTCGCACCCCAATTGAAACCTTTCGCAAAAGAAGAGAAAACGAAAATATATAAATAAATAATTTAAGTGAAAAAGATTCCGGCTGATATTGAGAAGCCTTGAAATTTTTAAATATGGATAATTGTTCGCCCATAGCTTTGAGTGTCTGTTGTATCTATTAGATTTCTAGATGATGCATGCACATGCAACTCTCTTTTTGTTCATAACTACATACACATTCAGTTTATTGACTGTTTATGGAAATTAAAATATTGTTGTTATAAGAAATTTTTACATGGTTAGAAAAATGTCCTATATTACGTATGCAAATTAACTTGACTATATATAACGTTAAAGAGAAACTCAACAAATTGATTTTTCACTCGGCATATTTTTGTCACTTCTGTATGTGATGTAGATAAGTATTTGGAATATTTCCAAATATCTTATAATTTATTTTAATAATTATTTAGATAATTATCTTTATTATTTTAGGGTTTTCTAGAGTTTTATGGTTTTCTTATATATAGCCGTTTAGGCTTAAGAGTTGTATGAAGTTTTTGATGATTAATAAAAGTTAAGAGATTTCTCTTTGTTCCTTGTTTTCGGTAGATCATTGGTGATCTCAACGAATTTAAGAAGACATTGATCTTAGGCATTCTTAGACTAAATNTATTATTTTAGGGTTTTCTAGAGTTTTATGGTTTTCTTATATATAGCCGTTTAGGCTTAAGAGTTGTATGAAGTTTTTGATGATTAATAAAAGTTAAGAGATTTCTCTTTGTTCCTTGTTTTCGGTAGATCATTGGTGATCTCAACGAATTTAAGAAGACATTGATCTTAGGCATTCTTAGACTAAATAAGATCCTTGTATTATCATAGTTTTCCGGATATTCTCAGAATCAACGGATCACTATTCCTATCCCTAGCAGCTTCCGCTACATCAGTTGGTATCAGAGCTGGCGTTTTGATTTCTTAGTCAAAACTCGATTCTGGAATCATGGAGAATTTGTTTCTTGAAAGTGAAAAAATCAGTTACATAGATATTATTGGTGATCCGGTTTATGATATCTACGAAGAAGATAATATGGACTTCATCAACTATCAATTACCAAGGGACATGATCATGGATCAAAGTCAAACTGTGATATCGAGAGAAGACGTCCACGGTGGCAGCCACCTCAACCCTATTAAAGAAGGTTTGTTCGTGAGAAGAATGGAGATAGTGGAGGTTTTGTCATCTTATACTAAAGGGCACGTGGAAGCAAAAATTCAATTCTTTGTGATGTGCTATAGTACGGTGGATTTGAAGATTAAGATTATGGTGGCAATGAATTATGTTCTTTTATTTGAAGAATATCATGTTTTGAAGAGTCGCAAAAGAATAAGATTGCATGTGAAGATTTCAAGTCTTGAAGGTTTTGGGATTGAAGACCACGGTTAAGATTCGGGACGAATCTTCTCCAATCCGGAGAGAATGATGTAGATAAGTATTTGGAATATTTCCAAATATCTTATAATTTATTTTAATAATTATTTAAATAATTATCTTTATTATTTTAGGGTTTTCTAGAGTTTTATGGTTTTCTTATATATAGCCGTTTAGGCTTAAGAGTTGTATGAAGTTTTTGATGATTAATAAAAGTTAAGAGATTTCTCTTTGTTCCTTGTTTTCGGTAGATCATTGGTGATCTCAACGAATTTAAGAAGACATTGATCTTAGGCATTCTTAGACTAAATNTATTATTTTAGGGTTTTCTAGAGTTTTATGGTTTTCTTATATATAGCCGTTTAGGCTTAAGAGTTGTATGAAGTTTTTGATGATTAATAAAAGTTAAGAGATTTCTCTTTGTTCCTTGTTTTCGGTAGATCATTGGTGATCTCAACGAATTTAAGAAGACATTGATCTTAGGCATTCTTAGACTAAATAAGATCCTTGTGATTATCATAGTTTTCCGGGTATTCTTAGAATCAACGGATAGTTCTATCCCCTAACGAATTTAAGAAGACATTGATCTTAGGCATTCTTAGACTAAATAAGATCCTTGTGATTATCATAGTTTTCCGGGTATTCTTAGAATCAACGGATAGTTCTATCCCCTAGAAGCTTCCGCTACATCATCAACGGATCACTATTCCTATCCCTAGCAGCTTCCGCTACATCAGTATGTCTATTGGTCACTTCATTTTCCATATGACAGTTCTAATTTAACACATTTAGTTTAATAAATAGATATTAATAAATCATAAAATAAAAGTACTTTGGCAAGAATCTTGGGTCAAAGCATAGTGTAGTTTTAAGTAAATTAAGAGTGACACGAAGCCAACAAACAACTCAAGGAGCCCACACCCAACTAAACAAAGAGATCTTGTTAGCCTCTTTCTCTACACAAAAGTTCTTTGACTCGTACCTTTCTAAACCCTCTCTGCTCTAATGCAATTCATAACTATATTTTTTTATATAAACTATATATATGTTATAAATTTATGACTATAGTTTCAACACCAGTGAAGCTCATCATTTAATTACCTATGAATAATAGTATTAATCCACGTAGCTGGTAGCTACTAGTTGAAGAGGTTACCTATAACAAATATTATTAGTAATATACACTTTAATGGTTACATGAGTAATAAAATTACAATAAAATTATAGATTTCAATAAATAAACTAATAGAATAAGTTATATAGAGTATACAAAAACAAAAGGAAGAAATAATCTAAAAATAGTTCTATATATTTCATGTTTTTGACATAGTACTGCAGTTCGCACAAAAAAAAAGACATAGTACTGCAGTAAGGAGATTGAACCTTTCTCTATCATGAAACTTGTTAACATACTTTGTATGATATTAACGGCCAACGGTGATAGATAGCGAAGGAAGCACATAAATAGTTGCCGACAATCATTCTTTGGAGAATATTAACCTTTTGATTTTGTGGAACTAATTTGCAACTACAATAATGACATATGTCGTTGTATATTCGTTTTACATCCTACTTTTTTCTTAACGTAAAATTAATATTACGAAGTACTCTACGGTTATGATAGGTTAACTCATTAACTTGCATACTATATATAAATCAGATATTTATTTTCACACACTCATATATACATAGTCATATAGACCGTGTGAATGAATTGTACGATCAAATTCTAGTTTGTATCGGACACTCGGTTAAAAAAAAAATAAAAGAAAAATGCTAACTGAAATTATACAAAGGTGTACATAGTCATATAACTATAAAGAGATGCTATTGAATAGAGAGAATCGATTCGGCATCTTGTACGTGGTATTGGCTTTTAGTTTATATAGAAAAAGGTGGCTTAATCTCTCAATTATATTATGGTAAGTCTCTTTCACTTATGCTTTAAGGAGGCAACTCAATCGACATCCGAGACACGAATAAAAATCTATATTACTTTGAATTTTGAATATTCACTATCTTTTGTGCTTCTTTTTCTTTTCATTAGATTTAATATTCATTTTCTCCTTTGCTTAGCGGCAACGTAACAAAATCTGTGAACTTCCAAAAACAGAATGATCACTGTAATGAATATTGATAAGCTGTACATTGGATGTTATGATTTGCCACATTAAAGTTGTGTTCCTACGAGCATCCTTTCTTTGTTCTACTTCGAATATGTATTGTTTTCTAAATCAAAACCTTGTTTAACAAAGCAAACGTGATGGTATTAAGACATAAATTTGAAGTAACATATGAGCATTCAAGAAAAACTGTAAATATAAAGCATAAAAAGGTGCTGAACAAACAAAATTTTCCACTTCTACGATTTCAAAGAGCATTTTTCTACGATTTTGAAAACGGTGTGAACAAAATGTACTATACAAATACGTGGACGAGATACAGAAATGCGAAACCCATACAAATATGATAATGAAAATTTTATAATTTAATTGTGGGTCAAAAAACATAAAAAGAGGGGAAAAGAAAAGATAAAGGGGAAATCAAAAGGGATGAAGCAAAATAGAGAATTTCAATAAAGATAATTTGGGTGATGGTGATGGAATAATTCTTCGATGTTTTCGTTTTGACCATCTTTACCTTTACTTCTCACTTTAATTTTCCTTTATTTCTCTAGCTGTTTATTCCCATATTTTTAAAATTAACAAAAACAAAGGAAAATTTAACAATCTTTAAATATAAATTAATTTCTATTATAGTTAATTCGATAAAAGAGGGAAATCTGCTAATATCTGGAGTCCATTCTCTTGGAGAAGAGTAAAGTGGGTAACAAAAAAAAGGAACTGAGATGATTCGATTCTCTTTGGGACTCCCATCCATGCATCACCTCTCAACCTATTTCATCTAAACATATTTTTTTGTCATTTTTTTGCTGAACTTTGTTTTTTTTTGTAATTTAATTACAATACTAACAATTGCTTATAAAATTAACAATCCATGATAAAACCTTTTTTCTATGGCCTCAAACGCTCACTGATTATCTTACACAACTTCAAAAGTTCATTCAGTAGGATTTTTATTTCAAAAGATATCATTCAATAGGATTTGAAAAAATAAAATATAAAAACATATAACTGTGATGGCTCACGGTGGTAGAGTGACTCTCGCCTTTCGGCACCAGAAGCGGGAGCAGAAGTTACAGCTACCTCTTGTTCATATTAGTATTTGTTTGTTCTCATGTTCACGTTTTTCCACACATTTTGCATGAGTATTAACTATCAAAGTGAAAATAAAAGATATCGTCTAGATCAGTTGGTAATTTTATTTGTAAAATAGATCGATAAAAACAACAAAATGGTGATTTAGTGGTAGGCGAGCTTTGGAATTTGCTAAGTAACCGGGTTCGAAGGCATCCCATTACATATTTTATGACCCATTTGAATATTCGGAATGAGGGTCCATCCGTGGGCTGTATCATCACTTTGGGGATTAGTGTGAGCATCTCCATGGGTTTGGGATACCCTAAGTTTAAAAATAAAAAAAAATCGATAAATAAACATGTTATGTGTGTAAAAATAACTAAAAATATGAATAGCTAATTTATATAAGACATAATTTTTTGGGTAGCCTTAAGTAAGAATGGTTCTAAGATAAAACAGTAAATAAGAAAGAGAGACTAACAATAAAGCAGGACGAACAGATAACTTATTGGACAACATTAATGGGTTAATAAATCATAGATTCATTTGGAGAATATTAAGCTCCGAAGGTGTTCTGATTATAAGCATGCTGGTTTGTTTGTGAGTATTATCGTTGAAGTACTCTTCATATGTTATTGGTGCCATTTGAGTTTTACCACATTCACTTGTGTTAATATATCCAACGTGTAAAATACATGAATGGTACTGGTATACTTTACAAGTTGCATGGTATCATCATTTGATTCAACGTGGCATGCATTTCATTGGCTAATTGTCACACATCTAGCAAGGCTAATTATATGTGGTGGTGAGTACGTAGTTCAAGGACTAACCTCGTAGATGCTCGTTTTTGGTGAATACTTTTATATAATCAATTTTGAATTCAGCAGACTAAAGAGTATTTTAATTGTACTCTATATCTAAGTGAAGTTTGATTGTTTGACACGGTCACGAACATGCATGTAACGGCCGATATAATGAACAAGTATGAACATAGCCATATTAATATTATAACATGCAGCGACGACAGCTACGGTGATGCCACGTAACAAGCAACTTCCAGTTAACCATGACGTGTCGCAACCGCAGAGGATAGCAAGTACAAGCTCGAGAAACCGCATACTAACTCTTGCAAAGTGCAACGCGTGTCTTCTATGCTAACACGTGCCTTGTTCTGGAACCGACCAAGACACACTACAAATGTTCCGAAGGATTGGAGAGACAATAGACACAGTTTCTCTACACAGCAACATACACTTTCATATTTTACGCATTTGAAGAAAAGAAAAAATGGCGTCTAACCAACAAAGCTACAAAGCTGGTGAAACCAGGGGCAAGACTCAGGTAATAAAAACACATATGTCACCATGTGTATACTATATAGATCTCGTTATATTTACAAATTTTAAAGATGATTTGGACCATTTGGTTGTGTAATAATAGGAGAAGACAGGACAAGCTATGGGAGCAATGAGGGACAAGGCTGAGGAAGGTAAGGACAAAACTTCCCAAACGGCCCAAACAGCCCAACAAAAGGCCCATGAGACGGCACAGTCCGCGAAAGACAAGACATCTCAAGCTGCCCAAAAGACTCAGCAAAAGGCTCAAGAAACGACTCAATCAGCAAAAGACAAGACATCTCAAGCTGCCCAGACGGCCCAAGACAAAGCCCGTGACACGAAGGACAAGACGGGGAGCTACATGTCCGAGACAGGAGAAGCCATAAAGCACAAGGCTCAAGACGCTGCTCAGTACACAAAGGAGACGGCTCAAGACGCGGCTCAGTACACGAAGGAGACTGCTGAATCTGGTAGAGACAAGACCGGTGGGTTTATAAGCCAGACTGGTGAACATGTGAAGCAGATGGCTATGGGTGCAGCTGATGCGGTGAAACACACTTTTGGGATGGCTACCGAGGAAGATGACAGGGAGCACTTTCCAGGCACAACTACTGGTACTACTCGGACCACTGATACAACTCACCAGACTTATCAGAGGAAGTAAAAACAATAAGAGAACTATATATGATTGTGTCGTCCTTTTGTTTCTATAATGTCGCATGTTTGGTCTTGTGAGTTTCTGTGTGTTTCTTTGTGTTTGTGGTTCTGTTTCGTTTCTTTCGTTCTGAACGGTGATCCTGGAGACTTCTAATTTCCAGCCAATAAGTTTAGAATTTGTTCCTGTCACACGTTTTGTATCGTCCAATTTGTATTTTTGTTATAATAAAAAGTTATCAATTCCATATATATTTTTGTCGTCCAATTCAAGCGCTAGTATTGTAATCAGTGTTGATGTTTAAACCGAATAAGTTCTTAGTTCTGTTAACTTAGAAAATTCAATTTCTATATATAGCTTTGATTTTTATGAGTTGCTAATTTTGTTTTCTCCCGATAAATATATTTTTAGATTTATAAATAACAACACGAATGGAAGCGGTGCGACTGAAAAGGCGATAAAAAAGGAGATCAAAAAACGATTGAAGATCGGAAACGACCGGCTTTGCATGTCAGTGTTGAAGCTACGGTTATAAAGATCTGAGTTTGTTACCCTAAGAAGGGCTTCAGTTTCTTCTACTTCAAAAGGTGCAGGTGATACTTTTAGAAGAGAAGCGTGGTTTTGTGTTTTCGAAGATTTGGGTTTTACAGAGTATTGGTGTGCGATTGAGAAATAGTAATAAATCCAAACTCTTATTCGTGTGATACTGATGTCGGCAGCGATGGATAAGGCCTTGATGGCCATGTCACTTGAAGAAGATGATGATGCACCGTTCGTCATGCCTGATCTACCGGAATATAGTTCGACGGAGAGAAACAAAAGGAGCTTAATTGGGAGACTTCTGAATCTTGATTATCAAAAAATGGCTGAATTTATCTTTGAGATGCCGCGGAAATGGCAGAAGCAAGGTCGTGTCCGAGGTATAGCTCTTTCACAAGAAAGATTTCAGTTCATTTTTGATAATGAACATGATCTTTTGGAAGTTCTTGAAAAAGGAGTTCACACTTATAATGAATGGGCGATTGTGGTTGAGAGATGGGAGGAAGTTCCGCCGCCTGATTCACTTCAATACCTACCAATCTGGGTTCAGATTAGAAATATTCCAATCAACTATCAGACAGAATTGGCGATTCAGGCGCTTGGAGATATTGTGGGTAAAGTTGTTGAAGTGGCTTTTGATCCTATGAAGGCTCGAAGCAATGTCTATGAAAGGGTAAAGGTGCGTTTTGATGTTTCAAGACCTCTAAGGAAAGAAAAAGTCATTGATCTACCAAAGGGTGGACAAACAAAAGTCTATTTCAACTATGAAAGGATACAAAAAAGATGTTATACCTGTCAAAGGTTAACTCATGACCAATCTGTGTGTCCAATCAATATTCAGAGGAGACAATTGGAAGCAGAAATAAGAAGATCAGGGGGTAGTGTAGTGAAGAAAAAATCAATTCCTCTACTGCTGGAATCTGATCCTTTATATGGTGTCTTAGAAGAAAACCAGGTAGGAATTGATCCGAACACAGGAAGACCAAGAATTGCTACAGAGGTGTTAGATGGAATGAGACAATATCTCTTAATTGCAAAAGGGGAAGAAAGGTTTATTAGAGAGGAAAGAGTGAAGTCATCTGTAAGAGAAGCTGAAAAAGATCCGGTTCTAAAAAAATCTGCGTTAAGTCTGGAACCAGTTCCGATGGTGACAAAAGATTTGCAGAAAGGTAAAGGGATAGTTTTTTGCTATACGGCAGAAGATTCTGAGAATCGTACAAAGGGTCCATGTCAGCAAGGTGAAAAATTGATGGCTTCAGCAATTAGAGCAAATCCCTTAATAGGATGGGGACCAGAGAATCAGAACAGAGGAGAAGTCCTATCTGGTATGTCTCAATCTTCCGATTCCTCATCTTCTGTGAGTGGTTCTACGGGTTCTAGGTTAAAGTCTTTTGACCTCAATCTATCCGGGACCTCCTCAAAGAAAATTAATATCAGGAAGAGACCAGGAAAGAACAAGAGGAAACGGAATGTTAATGTTGCAAAGGAGGATAATATTCAAATATCTCTAAAAGAAGGAGTACTGATAGGAAGTTTTGACAAAAGGAAAGCGATTGATCAGATGGGTGGAGTTTCCAAAGCTGTAAAGCAAATAACTCAAGAGGCGGTCCCGAAGGAGGGACTGTCCAAAGATCAATGAGCATTTTAGCTTGGAATTGTCGAGGACTGGGTCATCCCCAGGACTTGACAATCAATAGACTCATGGAAATACGTAAGAAATATTTCCCTGAGGTTCTATTTTTGATGGAAACAATGCATGGGAGAAATGTACTTGTAGATATTCAGGTCTGGTTAGGTTATAACCGTGTATATACTGTTAATCCGGTTGGGAGAAGTGGTGGTCTTGCTGTTTTCTGGAAGTGTGAGGTTGACGTTGAAGTTTTTTCTGCTGATAAGAATTTTGTTGATATCGGTGTACAGCTGGGGGAGAAATTTTTTTCAGTATCTTGTATATATGGGGACCCGAATGAAAGTAAAAGAAAATGGGTTTGGGAGAAAGTGTCAAGAGTTGGTTTGAGCAAAAGGGGTCCTTGGTGTATGATAGGGGATTTCAACGCTATTTGTGGAAATCATGAGAAGATTGGAGGACCTTCAAGAAGTGATGCAGTTTTTAAGAGTTTTAATGATATGTTAAAGACGTGCAAAATGAAAGAGCCTATGAGTAAGGGAGATCCGTTTACATGGGGAGGACGTAGAGGAGATCATTGGATTAGATGCAAGCTGGATCGTTGTTTTGGGAACAAAGTATGGTTTGATTTGTTCCCGAATGTTAATCAAGAGTTCTTGGAGAAAAGGGGGTCTGACCATAGACCAGTTTTGGTCAAACTTGAAAAGAATGGTGGAAGGAGGAAAGGAAGATTCAGATTTGACAAAAACTTGCTTGCTCTACCACATTTGAAGGAGAAAATAGTTGAGTCTTGGAGTGATCAACGAGGTTTTCTGAATTCGAGTGTATTAGCTAGAATTAAAAGATGCAGAAATGGAATTAGTAATTGGAAGAAAAGTTTTGAGCTGAATGCAAAAGGAAAAATCTTGCGAATTCAAAATGACTTGGAAGTTGAAGAATCTGGATGCTTTCCCTGTAATGATAAAATCTCAAGACTCAAGATTGAGCTAGTGAAAGCAAATAGAGAGGAGGAATCATTTTGGAAGCAAAGAAGCAAGGATAGATGGTTAAAATGTGGAGACAGAAACACAAAAGCTTTCCACGCGTCAGTCCAAATGGCAAGAGGTCGTAACGGTGTGGATCTGTTGGAAGATAAGAATGGCTTGCCGTTTAGGGACGAGACTGCAAAAGGAGAAATTGCCTTATCTTACTTTCAAGATTTGTTCTCTTCTACAAATCCGAATGATTTTAGGGATTTTTTTGAAGGCTTCTCTCCAAGAGTCACTGATCAGATGAATACAGATCTATTGTCAGAAGTTTCTGAAGATGAAATCAGAGAAGCAGTGTTCTCAATTAAAGCTTCTAGTGCTCCGGGACCTGACGGAATGAGTGCTCTATTTTTTCAAAGATTTTGGAAGGAAATTGGTGCACAAGTGAGTAAAGAAGTTCATGAGTTCTTCAATCAAGGGAGCTTTGATAAGGAATGGAACTTTACTCATCTTTGTCTCATTCCTAAAATAGTAAAACCTTCGAAGATGACAGATTTGAGACCCATAAGCCTATGCTCTGTTTTCTATAAAATCATTGCGAAAATCATGGTCAGAAGGATGCAACCATTGCTACCACTGATTGTTTCTCCCAATCAATCTGCCTTTGTATCTGAAAGGAATATCTCGGATAATATTTTAGTAGCGCATGAAGTTGTCCATGGTTTACGGACCTTCAAACCTGTAGCTTCTCAGTTCATGGCGATCAAATCCGATATGTCAAAAGCATATGATAGAATTGAGTGGGAGTATCTTAGGGCGTTGCTTACAGCTTTGGGGTTCCATCAGAAATGGGTGGAGCTTACTTTGTTTTGCGTATCTTCTGTGTCATACTCGGTCTTAATCAACGATCATCCTCATGGCTTGATTAATCCCCAAAGAGGATTGCGACAAGGTGATCCAATGTCTCCAGCCTTGTTTGTTCTTTGTGCGGAAGGATTATCCCATCTTTTGAGGAAAGCAGAAGAAGCTGGATGTCTAAGTGGGATTAAATTCTCTGATCAAGGTCTGTCTGTTAGTCATTTGCTATTTGCCGATGATAGCTTATTCATGTGTAAGGCTGAGTATGATCAAGCGACTGCGCTACAAGAGGTTTTGAAAATTTATGGACATGCCACAGGTCAAGTTATAAATTTGCAGAAATCTTCGATTACTTTTGGCTCGGAGATAAAAGAAGAAGTGAAAGATGGCATTCGACAAATTTTTGGAATTTATAATGAAGGAGGAGCGGGGACTTACCTTGGTTTGCCTGAATGCTTCAGTGGATCTAAGGTTGAACTCTTTAACTTTATCAAGGATAAGTTAAAGAGTAGACTCTCTGGCTGGTTTGCAAGATCTTTATCACTAGGAGGAAAAGAAGTGCTTCTCAAAGCTGTGGCGTTGGCCTTCCCTGTTTATGCGATGGGTTGTTTTAAGTTGCCAAAAACAACCATTGCTAATTTAACAAGTGCTATGTCATGCTTCTGGTGGAATTCTGTGGAGCATAAAGATAAAATCCATTGGATTAAATGGGAAACTCTTTGTTTACCAAAAAATCTTGGTGGGTTGGGTTTTAAAGACTTGGAAAGCTTCAATCAAGCGTTGCTAGCAAAACAGGCTTGGAAAGTCCTTCAGAATCCGAACTCTCTTTTTGCTCAGGTTTTGAAAAGCAGATATTTTGAAAACAGAGAATTTCTGGAAGCTGAGCTTGGAAGTAGACCTTCATATGGCTGGAGAAGCCTTCTCCATGGAAGATCTCTGCTGAGGAAAGGGATGAGGAAAGAAATAGGGAATGGGAGGTCTCTCAAGGTTTGGATTGATCCGTGGTGTGACTTTGGTGGGAGGTGGAATCCTTGGATGAAGAACCCAATTGTTAACCTTGAGTTAAAGGTTAGCGACCTTCTAAATCATGAAACAGGTGAATGGAACAAAGAAGTTTTGGAGGAAAATTTTTTCCCTGCAGATGTGGAACAAATTGTTAAACTTAAAGCTGCAGTGGGATGTGAAGATTTCTGGTGTTGGAAGCATAACAGAAGTGGTGATTACTCTGTCAGATCAGGTAACTGGTTGGCTACTAGATCTAATTTGAGTAAAGAGTTTCAAGAAGCTGGAATGCAACCTTCCATAAACAGTTTGAAGGAGGAGATATGGAACTCCCTCACTGCTCCAAAAATCCAAGCTTTCATGTGGAGAACTTTATCAAATGCTATTCCAGTGGCAAGCAATCTGGTAACGAGAGGTATGAAAGTTGAGATGCTTTGCCAACACTGTGGTTTGCAGGACGAAACCCCAAATCATGTTCTGTTTACGTGTGAAGTGGCTAGACAAGTGTGGGCTTTATCCAATTTTCCTTCGCCTCAAAATGGTTTCCACAAGGACTCTGTGTTTGTGAATTTCAGTTACCTTTTTCAAATGAGTAAAAACATTCGCGTTCCAGTGGAGATTAGAAGATGTTACCCATGGGTGCTGTGGCTAATTTGGAAGAATAGAAACAAATTTATTTTTGAAGCAAAGGAGCAAAGGGCAGAAGAAATTGTAGACAATATTTATGATGAAGCTTCATCATGGTTTGTGGCCCAACAGCTGGATAGAGAAGGAGAACAAAGAGAGGAGGAGACGATGAGATCCCATAAGAATAGATGGAATAAACCTCCTCATAATTGGGTTAAATGTAATTATGGTGTGAAGTGGTTGAAGAAAGAAAAGGTTGCAGGTGTTGCTTGGATTATTAGGGACAGTTATGGTGAATCCCTGTTGCATAGTAGAAGATCTTTTGTTGGAATTTCAACATTGGAGGAAGCAAAGGAAAAAGCGTTAGAGTGGACTCTTGACTGTATGATTACACATCGTGTTGACAGAGTTATAATTGCAGGTGAAGATGCTGTACTCATGAAAGTCATTGAGAGACCAAAAGCATGGCCTTCCTTTACTTCCATCTCCCAGAAGTTGCAAATCCTTTTGTGCAAGTTTAGTTGCTGGAAAAGCAAAGTTGAATCAAGAAGTGCTAATAGATGTGCCTTTCTCATTGCTGATAGTGCTGTGATGGATCGTTGGTACCAATCATACGTAGCTAGAGGTGCCCCTTTTTGGATCTCAAGCCTGCTATCTTCTGAGAAAGTCTAACATCTATGGTGTAGCTTTTGTGTAGTTTAGAATCGTTTTGGGTAAAAGGAGTTTATATTGATCCTTTTGTTGTAACTTGGATTATGTAACTCGGTTGCGTAACTCTCGAAATATATACATATATATACTTTTGAGGAAAAAAAAAAAAAAATAACAACACGACTAACATGAAACGAACTCTATTTTGTGTCCCATTTTTTATATTCTTGTAGTATATATTGTCATTTCATCAAGGATTTTAACCTTAATAGTATAGTTCTCCAATATTCATAATCTTTTTTGAAAGAATATTAAATTATTCATATAAAAATCTTTGTATAACTTGTGTGACTCTGTTTCCTAAGTTTGAATTAAGAAAAGTTTAAAAGCTGAAAAAGAAACAAAGAAACCCACCCATTATATATATATAAAAGATGTTCTACACATTGTATAAATAGCTATAGATTCTTTTGGAGTTCAGCGTGAGCCCTCAAGACCAAGCCTTGAGGCAAGCCAGTGAACAACCTCTTCCATTTCTTTCGGAACCGTATAGTGACCAAGCCTACACAAAGACAATAATTAAACCTCAGAATCTCAGACCACAAAACAGTAAAGCAAACTAGACAAAACTTTAGTATATTAGTTATAACATCTACCCTTCATATGCCTTAAACACAACTTGTCTGAATCCAGCCATGGCAAGTGAATGCGCAGATTTTTCTCCAAATCTGTAAGGAACTACATCATCCGCTGCAATAGAAAAAATCAGATTCTATCAGGTTGTTTTTATCTTGAAACAGTGAATAGAACTTTATATTATTAGAATGTTGGGTACACATACAAGTTCCATGGGCAAGTATGACTGGTACTGATGCAGCACGCCTTGCAGCTTCATTTGAAATTTCTATTTTGCTACGTAAGCTCCTGCATTGTCATGTTACATGTTCAATCTCTAGTCTGAAGATGCAAGTGGAGCTTGTAGATGTTAATGGGACTAACTAGGCGACAAAGTCACTGATGCTTGAGGCATTAGTCGTTACTACATAAGGCATGCGGAGTGGTGGGTTACCATGTGGATGCAAGATGCTGAGCTGGCGTGGGATAAACTTGAGGAGCAAGTTTATACCGTGGAGAAAAGGCAAGAGATAAACTTGGAGAGCAAGTTTATGCCTTGAGGAATAAGTACAAATCCAAGAAAAGGAAAGTGTACTTATTAATATGGAAGTTGTCCATATATCCACGTTGCCTTGGAGACTAGGGTTTCAGGAACGTGGAGATCACTATAAAAGAGCTATGGAGTCGTGTGTATTCCATAAGACACTTGGGCCTTTTATTATAGAGGAAGGGTGAAAATCCCTTAGGGTGTTCTTGGGTCGTGCCGAAGCAGTTGCTGAGGTACTGACGATGGAGAGACAAGTTTGGGTAGATTAGGAATCTTTCAGTAGCAGCTGTTAGGGTGTTAACAGGCTGTGTAAAGCTGATAAGCAAGTCTTGTAATAGATTGTTTAAAGATGATTTCTAATAAAGCAAAGGTGTTGCTTGTATCTATTTTGTCTCTTGATTTATCTTCTGGATTACCTTATTGTGGTGTCATCTTTGCACTTACTATTGGTATCAGAGCGGGTCACCTAAGTTACTAGTGTGATCCTGAAGGTGAAGATGTACACGGTTGTTTGCAGAAGACAATCTTGTTGGTTGATGGCCAGTTTGGTCATGAGAAGGCGCGCTTGAAGTTGTTGGTTCGAGGAATCAATGAGGGTGCGTGGATAGCTGTGAAGACTGCATGGGAGGAGCCTACGGTGGTCACAGCAGAGGGGAAGAATTCCAGTCGAAGGAGCCAAGACAAGGCAAGGAGCTGTTCGAGAAGTAGTTCGGCGGATGCGTCAGAGGCTGATGCAGTACTCATGAAGGAGCAGGTGGTGTGTCTGTGAAAGAAGGCTTGACATCTAAGCATCTATGTTTTAGCTTAGTATGCAATCAAGCAGGGGGAGAAGTGATGACGTTCTGGTCCAAGGAGTGCATATCTCGTGGGGGAGAAAAGCATGGTGATGGACGTCCTGATGTAGATGGTGCATATCTCGTGGGGGAGAAGAGCATATCTATGTATGAAGATGAAGATAGTGCAAGTCTCGTGGGGGAGAATTGCATATCGAGTGTGAAAGTTTCCAGGTGGGGGAACGTGGTTGTTGAACCAGAAGAGTATTGTGCTTGATTGGCACACAAAGCTAAAAGGGGGAGATTGAAGATGCAAGTGAAGCTTGTAGATGTCAATGGTCTTCCGTGACTAACTAGGCGACGAAGTCACTGATGCTGGAGGCATTAGTCGTTACTACATAAGGCATGCAGAGTGGTGGGTTACCATGTGGATGCAAGATGCTGAGCTGGCGTGGGATAAACTTGAGGAGCAAGTTTATACCGTGGAGAAAAGGCAAGAGATAAACTTGGAGAGCAAGTTTATGCCTTGAGGAATAAGTACAAATCCAAGAAAAGGAAAGTGTACTTATTAATATGGAAGTTGTCCATATATCCATGTTGCCTTGGAGACTAGGGTTTCAGGAACGTGGAGATCACTATAAAAGAGCTATGGAGTCGT